ACTTGGCCCCGTCGCCCCGACATCCGAAGGTATACGGATGAAGTCTTACAGACTCGGCCTGACCGAGCCTCAGCAAGATGCTCCAAAAGGAGCCCTAAACCTGTGACCAGCACACGAACCCTGATCCCCCCAAAAGCCTGCTTTATGGCTTGAAGATGCATTCCCCGAAGCCATCCCTGCCAGATCGCGCCTCACAGGGCCCGATCTGATCCAAGACGATGTGTGCCTGTGGAACCAGGGCTCAGGACCCAGTGGATTTGACGCTTCGATTCGAAGCTGAGGGTCAGGGGCTTCCAGGTGGGACGATGCCGGCCAACTTGTGAAACAAGCGTGGGGAAGCTCTGATTGTACGTCCGGTGCCTTGTTCACGTCCTGCGGAAAGCCCACACCATGCACAGTGATCACCTCCCGTCCATGTGTGCTGATTCGTGTGACTTTTGGGCTGCTTCTGGCCACTGCCGCCACGACTGAGACTGAAATGTAGCACATTTCTTGTACGGATGTGTATACATAATACACATGCCTCACACATGTTTATATACATACATACATAAATACGAATACAAACACAGATACAGATGCAAATACAAATACAAATACAAACTAATCCTTCAAATTGCATACTACGTGCTTTTCTTTCTTACACCATGCATATTACAAAACTTCGTCTTACATGCTACATACTGCAAAGTGCATGTGGCATGCTACCTAGTACATATTACACGTGACATACTTACATATGCAGACACATGTATATAGAGATAGATAACGCCACATGATTGCAACTACACAAATTGCACATTAAGCCTGATTTCCTCTTCATGCCCGCGGGAAGGACAGTTTTGATGAAGCGGGGAAAGGCCCTTGCCTTGCCACCAGCCACTGGACTGCCAAAGGGGTCCATGTTCACAACTGTCAGCTGCTGCCTGAACGAACCCGCCCCGACAACAACCTGCCTCACAACTCTGCTAAAAGCTGTAAGATTCAGATATGTCGGTTCAAGCTGCAACCCATGCATGACTGCAATTCCGGGAGTATTGCAGTACACAAGGTCATGCAGACTTTAGAGTATTAACAGCAGGATGCACGTGGTGCCTCACATTCTAAAGTCACCCGTGCCCCACGTGCAGGCCATTCTGCCAAGCTCGGATCAATACCGAAACCTGGTAAGGAGGCACAAACTCCACCCTCTCTGAAGTCCCGAGCCCTGCTTTCAACTGTTGTGCTACAGTTCAAAACGCTGACGCGAATGGTCCGAGCAGCTCCAGATCGTAGTCTGCTTCGCTCCTCATGCAAGTAGCATGGGGCTGAGTGGTCTCTTGATTGAAGTGCAGGGCAGTGTCAATTTTAGAGTATCCTCTGCTCGGAATAAAGCGCACGACCCCCAAATGTCAACACCCCAAATACCTAGATTGCAGCGAAGCGTCAGTGAGGCGCGGCTGGCGAACCCACCAGGGGTGGGCTTGACAGCTATGCTGTGCTTGCCACCAGGAACAGGGCACCTTGCGACATGCTAACTTCGCTGAATACCATGACAGTGTAGCAGAGGCATAGTTTAGACAACAATACACCATGGTGCTTTTTGATGATACCCAGTAGAAGCCTTTGGGATTGGCGGAGGTTGAAGGTGCAGCTTGAGTCCATAGCGTATAGGATGCTTAGGCTGTGGGACTTGATGCGACGGTCGGAAGAAACCAGTTCTTGTCGATTTGGTTTGGGCACCCGTCGCGAACGAGGTCCTTGCTGATCCTGTTGCCGCTGTTGACAATGATGATGATGATGATGGTGCTGTGGCGATGGTGCCGGCAACGATTGAAAGGTGATGGAGGGTGGTGATTCATGGCAATGGCCATGCTGATGATAACAGCGATGATGAGTAATCACGGCATACATGTGATGATGGTGATGATGATGGTGATGATGTTGGTGATGTTGATGATGATGTTGATGATGATGATGGTGATGATGATGATGGTGATGATGATGATGTTGATGATGATGATGATGATGATGACGGTGGTGGTGCTGCTGCTGCTGATGATGTTGATGATGATGATGATGGTGGTTGTGGTGGTGGTGGTGGTGGTGGTGGTGGTGGTGGTGGTGGTGGTGGTGGTGCTGGTGGTGGTGGTGGCGCTGGTGCCGATCATGGCTGCATTGATGGTGTTTAGCCATTGCGGATATCATGCAAGTCTCACGCCCACGACCACGATGAACACCGAAAGAACGACCACAACAACAACAACAACCACCACAACCTTGTGGACACATGCTCGTCATCAAGAACTGTCGGACGTCCGTGCGTCATCTTCTTTCCTTGTTACTGCATACGTATGGCTTGCCCTTCCCCAAATTCAACGCTCTCTCTCGCTCTCAAGGCACGAGTTGACACGGAAGAGCGTGACGTCCAGCACAGAGCAAAACCTGGGCTTCTGCTTTGCCACGGCCGCGTCGACAGTCTGAGACTGAAGCTTGGGGTCAGGGTTCTTCGGTACATGCTGGCTCTAGGGTTGAAGTTTGAGGAAGGCCCAGGTCCTTGGGTTGCTCGGATGAGTTCGGGTCCAGGTTTCCGGTCCTGTGTGACATCATAATGCCACAAGCCACACATCGAGCAGGAACGAAGACCTCCACAATCCCTGAAGCCTCAAACCAACCTAGAACGTTTAATGTATAACGGTAAAGCCTGAGACAGCTTGGTACCTCTCATATCCCCGTGAAACAAGCGCTGGACTTGGACCAATGCGAATCGGACAGAAAGCTGAAGCGGAACAAGCAAGTAGACCGAGGAAGACTTGACTGCCCAAGTCAAAGCACGGCTTTTCAAGGAAAGCTAGTAGTATGAACCACTTCTTCATCTTCCACAGACCCAGTAGCCGTGTAGGTGGCTCCTCCGGCCTGACAGTGGCCGTCCCATTGGCCTCACGCTTGAGCAGTAACCCGAGTTTGCCTGGCTTTGGCTTTTTGGGCTTTCAGTTTAGGATTCTAGAAACAGACAATGCAGGTCCAAAGATGTTGGCTTGAAGTTGAGTCGAAAAATGGCTTGTCATGTTGACTTGACTCCCGGCTTTCCTGATCAGGGTGGGATTGGGAGGTCAAAAAGCTGAAGACTTGATTCCGAAGGCAGGTTTGTAGGTCAAACTTGGGACTAGCAGAGGAAATACGCATAACCTTTACACAATCCTAGCTGGAGAACGCGACCACGACATGCGATGTGGCTGCGCCAACCTTTTACTGAGTCTTGAAGTTCTGGAATGCCTAGGGCTCCCGCCAAGCATTGCTTGAGGCAGGTGGCGGCCAGCGTGGCCGTCAGGTTGGCACCTGACGACTGCTGTCCGGAAAATATGGTGGCGTGGGAAAGGACAAGTGATACAATTACACAGACCTATCTGTATGCATGCGTAACGGTATGTCAAAAGGCATGCATGTCTGCACAGCAGCACATTTCTAAACGTGGTGATGGATTTATGTGCGCGTCTCTGCAATGTGCATGTATATATATATATATACATGTATATGTATATGTATACATACGAACACATATGTGTGTATGTGTGTGAGTGCATACATGACCAAAAGCAAGCAATAGTTTAAACTTGAATAAAGCATGGATGCAGACATGGACACAAATACAGATAAAGATATCGATATAGACATAGCCATGCGAGTTTTCTCATTATAAGCTACGTCTACATGTATCTCTATATCTGTATCTAGATGTAGATATAGATAAAGGGAAAAGTACAGGCATAAGTATAGGTATAGGTCTAGGTATAGGCATCGATATGTTATAGATATAGGTACGGATATAGAGACAGATATGTAGGTACCGATAGATAGAGATGTTGATATAGATAAAGACATGCGCATAGATATGAATGAAGATAGATCAGAGAGACAGAGATGGAGTCCGAGATAGAGACAGAGCCAGACGAACAGATAAGCACAAAGCCTGCTACATAGATAGACAGATAGTTCCAAGGGCTATGCAAATGTGCATATGCATTGGTATGTAAGTATGCGTCTGTGGCCATGGCCAGGTCCATGCACGTGTGTGTGTGTGTGTGTGGCTCTATACACTCGTAAGTAAATGTGAATATGTATATACGTATGGGTATATATATACACATGTATACATGTGCAAAAATGCACATGTGCCCATACCTACATACCTACATACATACATACATACATACATACATACATACATACATACACAAATACATACATTACATTACATTACATTACATTACATTACATTACATTACATTACATTACATTACATTACATTACATTACACTACACTACATTACACTACATTACA